CGGGCACAGATACACGCTCGGGTGTGGGGTCCTCCACAGCGTGCAGGTGGGCATCTGCTCTTCCATGGGCTTCAGGGAGGCAGCCAGCCCTCTCAGCAAGGGCTGCAGGGGTGTCTCTGCTCTGGAGCACTTTCCCCCTTCCCCTGCTTCTTTCCCAGTTATTTTCAACTGGCCTCAGTATTTGCATAAGTATTTCCCTCAACTCCTCTTCCTCTCAGGTTCCCTTAAATACGTTATCACAGATGTGCAGTCACCATTGCTAATTGGCTTGGCCCTGGCCAGAGGTGAGTCTGACTCAGCCAGGGGAGCTTCAGGAAGCTTCTTACAGAAGCCACACATATAACCCCCTCCCCCACTACCAAAATCCTGCCACACACAAACTCAACACACAAGTTCTCTTCATCTCTTCTTTTGGTTTGGTTGGTTGTTTTTTTTTTTTTTTTTTCCTTCTAAATTTGGTCAGTGTAAATATAACTTTTGATATGTTGATTTATTTCTTAACTTAGTTTTGGTTATTGCTAAATAGTTTGTTTTAAACAAACCGAGGAAGCTGTATTATTTTTGCCTAGAAAACTTGGATTTCCATTTTCCCCTGCACTTGTCCTCTTGTTGGAACGTTTTCTGTAGTGACCAGTGTTGTTTATCCCTAATAATTTGAATGTAGCTCATATTGGTAACTGTTTAAAAGGTGATTTAAATCACAAAGCTGAAGAAAGCCAAGGGTAAGCCATAATGCAGGTACATAACTGTTATACGAAAACATACTGATGACAGAAAAGCTGTTTGGTACATGTTAAGTGTACATATATGTGTACGTGTTCATTACAGAAGATTGCCGAGTTAACTAGAAAACTTTAACTTGGCTATAAAATGTTGATAGACTAAGTGGTAGCTAGCTTACATGATGCATAGCTTCTTTTAAAAATTATTTTGATATTAGTAAAAAAAATACAAATTTGTAGTAAAAGTTACAGTGTGATGAGTATTCAGTATTCTTTATGCATATATAACCTGCAGCAGCAGGTGCAGGGCATACATGGCAGCTACTTTTTATATCTGAAGACTGCAGAGAATGGATCACAAGTAATAATCCGGGGTGGGTGGAATGAGAGTTGTTTATCTGTCTTTCAGTTTTATGTGTGTATTTATATTATTACTCCTTTTATTACAACTTTTATTTGTAATTAATTGTTTCAAGAAATGCCAAAGCAAATATGGGAATGAAAGCTGTTGGACTGTTTCAGTTAGAATTATTTCTGTCAGTCTTGGGCTGAATTGCAGTTTATGTGGTGCCATTCAACTTTTGCTATTTGTTTTGTTTATGCCTCAGCTAAGCATGATGGTGTGGGAGTTTTGTCTCAAGAAACTTTATAAAATGTTATCTGAAGTCTTTCTACTTGTAATAACGAACTGTTTACAGTATCAGGAGAGAGGAATAAGAAGTTAATTGAGTATAGAGCTTGGTAATTAAGGAAAAGAAAGATTCAGTGAATGGGGTTCACATAAAACTAAGGAAAGAGTTAAGCAAGCATAGGAAATGAGAATTAAAATAGTTATGGATCACTTGATGGAGGTCTGAGGAAACTATGTTGCTTAAGCTCATGTAAACCAGAGAATGGGATTCCACTTCACTAGCTTCAGTGTCATAATGGTTCCTTCTCTGGGTTAGCTGTGTTCCTCTTGACAGCACTTCCTCTGTGCATAGCTCATGTTGTTCAAAAATGACAACACATGGGCAAAATTGGGGTTTCTGCTGTCATGGTGAGATTCAACCAGATACAACCATGGCTGGATATATTTGGAAAATATTCCTTCTTTTAAGAAGACCTGTACTGTGAAGAAAGCAACAAATAACTTTGAATACTTGTTTAAAGTAGGTGCTCCCCCCACCTTTTAAGACATTTTCTGACATTTTTATGGTTAAATTGTATGAATTCTGTTGTTGAATAAATGGGTCCTTTTTTTTTTTTTTTTTTTAGAACATGGAAGGTTTCTGATATCTTTGCGTAATAAAACTGAAAGTTAAGTTGTTCTAAGACTGAAAACCAAAAATTATTTAGATTTTGAACCTTAAAATGGAGTTGACTTAAGACTGTTAAGTGTGTAAACCCAACCCATGCAGGAAGTGGTAGATTTGCACCAACCAGTTTATGGCTCTACGTTGTTGCTGTTATATTATATGAGAAATACGTGTATGCCTCTGCTTCTCAGGTGCTTTATTTGTAGCTATTAGAATTCTGACTATAAAACCCTGTCAGTTCCTTAGAAGTCTTACTAACAAACTTGACCTGATAGATGTTTTGAATAAAAGCAAAACCTAGTGCTTAAGCAAATCACTTCTGAATAACTGATAAATCAAGTGCACTGACGCCTCGCAAATGAGGAAAATATAGTCAATTTGAATTGAGTGACTATGGAACAACAAAAGTTCTTATGTTATTTCAGAAGGATGTGAAATGCAGATGTGGTTAATGCACATGTGTAGTATAACTGCGGAAGCATGGGTTAAAAAAGTGAAATAACTGGTTGTTCATTTAAATGTGTTTCTAATCTGTTTTTCTTCAGTGTTTTGCATTGCTTAATTGATTAAAGAGTATGCATGACTGGTTTTAGTATTTCATAATTAATAAACTTTTTCCCCTTCCAGGATCATTTTGGGATTAAACCAGTACTACATGTAATTAAATAACGTTCTGGATTTAGATTATTTACCTCATCTTTCTTAAAATAAAATGTGCCCACCCCTTATAAGCCTGCATAGTATAGATTACACTTGAATATAATTTGCAGAAATACCCTTTTGGCCATCTCTGCTAGCACAGTTAACAGAAACTCTCTGTGCAACTGTACACTGTTTTCAATAACTTTCTTAGCTTTTTCTGATTAGGTGGTTAGTCTCAACCACTCCTTCTTACAAAACCTGTTTTGTTTTGTCAGAGTTGTAATAATGTACACTGAGAGACAAAGCAATCGTACTTCCTTGATTTACTCTACCACCTTCCGTTAACCTGCTGAGTATGCATATTTTCATCTTAATTTCTCCTGTGGTTGTGTTAAGGATACAGATAATCGATCAAAATAACGAAGATGTGCCACAGGGGAACAGGCAATTATTTGATGATTGTTTTCTTCCAGACTATTGTTAGGAATTAAGAGCAAAGAAAAAAAGCTTTATTTAAAAAATAAGTGGGGGTGGGGCAGGAGGGCGAGGGGGTAGCTGAACCCACCCCTTTTCATTTGAGGCTTCATATGATGTTCATAGCTCTCCTTACAAAAAAAAAAAAAAAAAAAGCCCCCAAAACCAACAACCAAACCAAAAAAGTAACCTTCAACTTTTGTTAAAAAGTGCAGTGAAAAATTTCAGGACTTTGCTTGCTCATACATGTCTGGGTTTTAAATTTACAAACCTTCTGTGTTATTGTTTTAATGGCAGTGAAAATACCAGGCAAAACCAGAACGGTGCTGTTCCTTCTGGACTGAGGAAGGTGGGAGGTATGGTGGGGTGAGGTGAAAGAGGTGGAGCACCGTTCTTTCTGCATCTCAAGAAGAAAGGCGTGACAACAGTTGGCTTCATAGAATAACTGCTTTAATTAGACAGAATAAAATAGACAGAATAGGAGGGGAAATACTGATAGTGAACAAGTCCCCTTCAAATGCTGGGCACCCTGCATTAGTGTGGCATCAGCCAGTGCCTTGGTAGATCTTCCCATGGCATGCTGTGTCGAGCAGATGCTGTCCTTGGAGAGAAGTTCTCCCGTTTGGTCATTCAATCTAGAATATAATTTCCTTGCAAGAGAACAACTCTATTCTTAAAACATGTTCTCATGAGAATTTCCTGTTGCACTGTCAGACAAAGGCAAAGCCATGTGGATGGCTTAGTCGCCAGTACCAAGGGGGAGCGTGCCTGCGGGCCCCTCTATTATGCTAAGATGGTTGAGGCTGTCCTGCAGTCAAGGGACATGTGCAGCACAGCATGGACCTCTTGTCCCTAGCTTCAAAGTGTGTAACACTTTCCCAGTCAGCAATGCTACGTTCCACCCTTTGATTCTCATACCATTTCCCAAGGGTCTTTTATAAGTTACAGATTACATTACTCAGTAGAGCAGAGGTGACCTGTTCAAGATCACCAATTCCATGAATACGCTGTCTTCTGCAAAGTCCCAGTAAAACATTATCCTAGTAATGATTTCAATTTTGCTTTTGTTCTGTAAAATTATAATACTCTAGAAGAGCTCCTAGGCTTGTTGTTTGGTCACTCTTTCTAGTGAAGTGAAGTTTTATGAGCTTTTTGAAGGAATTGGAAAGAATTGTCTTTTTTCATCTCGCTATAAAATAGGGGAAACCAAATATGGAAAGTAGAACAGATGATAATGCTTTATTTTATCATGTGAATGGTGAAGGCATTCAGAGAAACTGAATGGCAGAGAAGAAACCCGGAAATTTAAGTTTAACTCTTTCTTTCTTCTTGACCTGAAAGCTGTCCTGTGCTTCTTGTGTTGCTCCATGGTTTCAGTCTATATGATATCGGTCAGGACTCACAGAGCGTAGAAAAGAAGAGGGAATTAAGATATTAAAATTGGCTTACTAGGTTGCTTGCCAAGTAAACAAATCACAGTTATTTTGATGGCACTATACTGCATGTCTATTTAAATTTATAAGAATGTGGTAGGGAAATAGCAATGACAGGGGAAATTAGGGAACCTAACAGTAATTCATTTGGGAAGGCTCTTTCTCCCATTACTTATATGAAGCTTATGTATATATCCTCACCTTTCAGCTCCTGCTTGTGAGCATCACTCCTGTGTCTGGTTTGCTATCCCTCTGCAAATCATCTCTGTGAGCAGGGCCATTCTTCCTCATCTTGACTTGCATTGTGTATTTGTGTGTTCTTTAAATTTAATTTCTGAGTAGCTTACTATTTCATTCACCTCCACGGTTTATGTAGGAGGTGTTACGTGAATTATATGTGACTGCATGAATATGTTGTGGTTATTTTATAGGTGGTGATTCGTGCTCAAAATGGCGAACTCCTCTATCGTATTTCTCCTTGGGCAAGATATGTAGTCCGTGATGAAGACAAAGTGAATTACGATTGGGTACACTGGAATCCACCACAGTCATATATAGTAAGGCTTAAATACTATTTTCAAAAGGTGTATAAAACCATGTGTCTTGTCAGCTTTGCATCCCTGCTTGGAAGAAAAAAAAAAAAAAAGTTCCACAAAAAGGGTAGCGAACTAGTTAAAGTAGCTACCCAAGAAGTGAAGGGGTTTTTATTCATGGCTTTGACAGAAACAAGTGACTTGAATGATAAATGTTTTTGAGCTACTTTTACAGTCTCCCATAGAGTATATATAAAAGTTACCAGTTAAAGTGGTGTTTTAAACTTGTCTTCCCACATGCTAGGCAAGCTTGATAACTATTCCAGGACTAGGTTGCCCTCCCGGGTACAGAAGAGAGCAGGGGATTATCAGAACTGGGTTTGAGAATTAGTTGCAAATACAAAATTCAGTACTCCAATAATAAGTCAATGTCATATGAAGTCAGAAAAAACTTTCAAAAGTAAAGTGTTCATGTTGCAGTCAAATCCTAGTTTCTTCATATCAGGAAAATCTGTTCATTAATTTTTAAAGCCCTCTTATTTCTCATGCACTGCTGTAAGGGGGAGAATTCTTTACAAGACATATGAAAAGCATCCTAGGAGAACATTCAGAAACTTCAGAGTGAGTGATGTTATTTCATATTACACTTTTTGGTGCTTTTATTAAAAAATTGTATGCAGTATTCCGTATTAGAGGGGCTGCAACCTCTGAGTTAAATTTTAGCAGCCATCTCAAATTCTGAAACATCTGCTTGACAGAGAAAGGGTAACTCATGTGGAAAATCTCTTTAAAAAAAAATAAAATTACGTATTCTACAGTAACTTTCTTATTTAGGTGTGTAGTTTGTATGAATTTACTTTTACCCTGTATCTATAATGATGTGTGACATCTAGATTCTCTTTAAGAGGAGGAATGGGAAGGTAATTGGAAATGCAGTGGTCTGTATGACCTAGAGTGAAAAGGCGGCAAGAACATCTAGAGTTCAGACAAGGCCTTACTGAGTTAAGTCAGAAAAGAAAGTTGAGTTCTTTTATGAATAGTAGAGGTGCCCAGTGGAAATCAAATACAGGAAACAAACCTCAACCAGAACTTCTTTATGTTGCCCCTTTAATTTCTGTTCATTGTCCACATACATGTGTGTTTTTGCTGGTTTTGTTCTAACTTTCCAAAAATTTCACTTAAATATTAAGCTAACAAATAGAATATAAATTCTTTTAACTTTTTGAATTGTGAGAGGCAGGAAAAGAAAAAACTTTCTGGGGTAAAAATAGATTTTAAGCAGTAGTTTTCCTAAGTTTCTTCAGACAAGACTTTTGTTTTCAAAAGTAAAATCCTGATCAAATATAAGCTCTTCAAGTGTAGAGTAGGAGGTTTTGTGATTAACTGTCTCTGTGTTCTCGAAATATTTTCACCCATCTGGAAATACCATGTACTTAGGATTTCTTAATTATTTTTTTTAAATCCTAAGTAATTGGAATATAGATGATTCTGTGCTGCGGAAATGTGTTCTTTAGGACTCAAATACTTACAATTTTAGTTTGGAGAAGGCAGAGCAACTTCAAATACCTGCAAAAAGCAGGTATGCTTAAAAAAATAAAAACCTCTCTTTCCAGTGTCATCTTTTATTTTCAAACAAGCTTCATAGCAGTTCAGAAGAACTTTATCATATCACATCACAGAATGGTTTGTGTTGGAAGGGACATTAAAGATTACCTAGTTCCAATAAACCCTCTGCCACGGGCAGGGGCCCCTTCCCCCAGCCCAGGTTGCTCCCAGCCCCGTCCAACCTGGCCTTGAACCCTTCCAGGGAGGGGGCAGCCACAGCTGCTCTGGGCACCCTGTGCCAGTGCCTCACCACCCTCACAGGGAAGAATTTCTCCCTTCTATCTAATCTAAATCTGCCCTCTGTCAGTTTAAAACCGTTACCCCTTGTCCTATCACTACACCCCCTGACAAAGAGTCCCTCCCCTGCTTTCCTGTAGGCCCCCTTTAAGTACTGGAAGGCTGCTGTGAGGTCTCCCTTACAGTACAATGGCTGCTATTAGTTTGTATGCTTCAGTGTAATTTAAAAAGGGTATAAGAGAAGTGTTGAATCATGCATGTCTATTTTCTTGTTCATGAAGAATGTTAATTTGAAATAGACATTTGCTTTAACAGTTTAGAATGCTTAATTACTTATGAAATGTTTGTGCTTTTAGAGGAAAACAAGCCTTTTAATTGCTTTTCATCTTGTACAAATTATGTGATTGTCACAATGCTTCCAAGCTGTTGTATTCTAATGACAACTGTTTTTTCCTTATAGCATAAGCATCCTTCCCCCAAGAGATTAAAAAGCCTAAGAATCTATGAATCTCATGTGGGGATTGCCTCCCCAGAAGGGAAAGTAGCTTCTTATAAAAACTTCACATACAATGTACTACCCAGAATAAAGGATCTTGGTAAGTAGTAACAGAGATACTTGTGGAGATAAAATTTTAATGTGCCTATGCTGTTATTAGAAAAGATAGTTATCGAGTATCAGTAGGCTTTTGCGTTTTCAGGTTACATGTACTATAAAGATAGGTTCTTAGGGCAGCAAAAATTATCAACAAGTGACATCTATGGAAAAGAAAAAAAGACTGAAATAGAATATGTGAATCAAAATCCATTCCACAGATTTTTAAGTAAAATGTGATTGCAAAAACCTAGGTAAATGTTGCAGGGCAATTTGCTTTTGGTGCATGACTTGCTTTCCACTTGAAAAAGAACCTGTTTTTGTGAGATAGTCTTTAGAAAATACTGTGCTCTTAATTCGTTCTGCTAATATACATCTTGATTCTAAGGAAAGACAAAGAAATACCTGGAGAGAAAGGATTGTCTTTTCTGTTTGTCAGAATAAGCATGCTAAATTTTTTATCCCTAAACAGTTGCTATGAAGTATCAGAACATGGAAACTAAATGTGAGAAATCCTCTTTTAGAAAAGAACTTTCAATATATTGGAAGGGATGTATGAAAGAAACAGCTGGCATGATTATCTCAGGAAGCATAGCAAACCTGTTCACCTCTGCTTCTATTTGATAGTTATTTTTTTTCCTGTTGTGTCTTTTCACTGTTTCTATAATGGACAATATTAGAACTTGGTGGCTTTTACTGCCCTGTGATGAAATACATTTTTGTTACACTCAACTGTAAAATAAATGTGACATCCATGGCTAATACCTCTGTGGATGGTGTCTGTCTTTATGTGTTGTTTGATTTTTATTATTTTTTCATTTATTTTTCTTTATCAGAGTGCCTGAAGAAGCCATACATTTTTATTGTAGGTTTACTTGTTGAGTCAGTGTTTCACAGAATGTGGCTTTTGCCTTTCAATAAAGTTGAGCTTGCAGGTTAGATGAGGGAGTTTGCACATCTGGAGACCCCCAACAAAAAGTAGATCTGGATTCCACATTACATGTCTGACTCTTTCTCTACTGCCAAAGAATTTCAGTTATTTCAGGAGGTTAACATGTTTAACAGAATTATGAAAGCTTTCTGCTTTACCTACAGATTTTTCTACGTGGAGTAGAAATGTCATTAAAAGGCTGATACACCACAAAATAAAAGCAATATCAAATTTAGGTAGGGTATGCAGAAATAAGTGTTTGTTCTTATTTACATTAGGTAAACACTGTGGGAATTAAATCTTTTTTTTTTTCTTAAGTGGTATTATATTTGATTTTGGAATATCTTATTAGGACAAGCTTAAAGAATTCTAAGATATTCTAAGATATTAATAGTTTGTAGAAATATGTGCATGACAAATAGCAAAATAAATAGCAAGCAAACAGAATGAGATTAATTTAATGCTATGTTGCTGTTTTATTTATAGAAATGCTGTAAATAAGAATAAGCGCAATGAGCCTGAATTATAAAACAGCAATGAACCTGACAAATTGCTGAACTCATGCCAACTATCTTCTAATAATGTCTTTTATAGCTGCAAAATTTTAAAACAAAACCAAGAACAATAAAGAAGAAAGCAGTATCTTGTCTAAACTAAAGAATGAAGTGAAGATTTTGGTTAAACTTAGAGAAGTGGTGCTGATGGGAGTCTGAAGAGACTGTAGATGAAACCTGAAGGTTATATTTTGCTGATAGTCCTCACCTGCTAGCTGTCTGGGGCACTTACTCACTGATATTAAAGATAGCTTTAGCCAAGATGTGTGGCAAGTACTGCAGCTTCACCGTTAGTATGTTGTTTTCCCTTCAGATTTCCCTCCTTTAATACTGCACCGAACTATCTTAGATGATAGGCAATGTGTCTTCTGCCCTCCTGTACTGCCTTGGTTCTTTGGTAAACTCATAACAAATACACATTACTTCTGTGTTTCATCTTTCTTGAAAGACTCTTGTAGAGGGGGCATGTAATGATCAAAGGTAGAAGAAAGTTTTTGAAGTGGTAAAAAAAGATTCCATAGAGCATAAGGTATAGCACATGTAGCTAGTGACTGCCCCCAAGCCCCTTGACTCCAGGTGTCAAAAGTGCAGTGGAAGTTCAGGATATGCAGATTGGCATAGTTAATATTCCAAAATTAATTTAAGATTGCATTTGCATAGCAATTATTGCTTTCTAAATCTAAGAGATTAAATACACCTAGTTATATGTAGATCACTTGACAAACTGACTGTTCCATTTTTAATGGAAGATCATGTAAGTATAAACTCTTAGGTGGAATCACTTCTTGAGAGAGACTCAATCTTTAGTTGTTAATCATTAGAGATAGAAGCAGCTAGAATGAAAGAAGACTGGAATGGATACGTTACAGGTGTTGAATCCTCTTTTAACTATCCTTAAGGCAGGGGTTGTTTTTTTCTAATTTTTTATAGGCTATAACTGTGTCCAGCTGATGGCTATTATGGAACATGCATACTATGCCAGTTTTGGTTATCAGGTCACAAGCTTCTTCGCAGCGTCAAGGTAGGTTTAAGTACTTCAGCATCTTCTCTGTTCTTTTACCTTACTCCCCATCCATTGAAATCAGTATGCCTGTGCGTGTGTGTTTATAAGTAAGTGTTTAATGGAAAGAGAAAGTAATGGCTTAGGTATTTGCTCTAGCTTCCTCTTAAATCTGAAATCAATTGGGCATAGTGATCAGCTGTTCTGTGAAACACTTCGTATAGGATACAAACAAAAAGCTTGTAAGTAACTTCAGCTGTCATAGCATATTCCAGCTAATCCAGCTTCAGCACTCTTTATGCATGGGTTTTGTGTTGTGGAATTCTTGGCAGTAACAATGCGATGTGTAGGTCATTCTTTTATGATAAAGAGAACTGTACACTACTTGTTCATAATAAACTTGATTAATATCACGGCTCTGTGTGTTCTGTGAGAACTTTTTCCCACGCTTGCAATAGACTGTACTTAGATTGAGGCCTAGGGTGAAAATAGATGGAAAATGTGTTCAGGTAATTGTTAAGAAAATTACAATAAAACCTGAATGTTGTGATTTTTTTTTTTTTTTTATCTTGATGAAATTCAAGTGACAACCAGGCTAAATGTAGATAGACAGGAAGTTTTAACTGGCTTAATTAGTTGAAACAAATGTCAGACATAGGTGACAAAAATCTTCATTTAAAAGTAAGTTGGAAAACAGTGTAGCACCTAAAACAAATAATTAAGCAGGACAGCAGCAGATGATGTATTGTGGGGACTTCCATGAATGTACATTTACTTTTGAAGTCATTATGTTTTACATTATTCCAGTAATATAAATATATTCTTGTCTCTTACAAAGTAAGGAAGTATTCAATATTAAATGGAAGTTTTATCACTTACCTTTTATACTGAATTTGATGTATTAACAGATTAAAAGGGAACAATAAAACTTTGAAACTATTTCTGCAAAACATCGCACGCATGCATAATGTAATTTTTATAATTAAAAAAAACCTTTTAATTGTAAGTTTGTATTCAATATCTACTATTTAAGAGGCTGAAAAAATAACCTGTATACAGTTGAAAATTAGGTGATGAAGAACTGCTGACTTTGATGCAGTTTTTATGAGTAATGGTCAGTATTGTCAACTTAAGTTCCGATTGTACCACTCATAACACATTGCATTTTCATTCTGATAGCCGTTATGGAACTCCAGATGACCTGAAAGAAATGATTGACGTTGCTCACTCAATGGGCATCACTGTTCTGCTGGATGTTGTGCACAGCCATGCATCAAAAAACTCTGATGATGGGCTCAACAAGTTTGATGGTACAGATTCTTGTTTCTTCCATTCTGGTCATAGAGGAACTCATCAGCTCTGGGACAGCAGGCTCTTTGACTATGCAAAGTAAGTGTAAAATGTCACTTCAGGTGTTTTAATGATCATTATTGCTTACCAGTTCTATTAAAACTATGCTATTCTCCAAACTGGAAAAGTCATTTGGGTGTTTCAGCAGTTAAGATATGCTGAGTTAAATTGCTTTGCTAAATACTTAAAATCTAAGACTTAATAGTAATATTTAGGTTTTGTTATTCTTCTGTCATCTATGACTGCATATGTACATTCTATATACCATTTGCATTGTATGTATTATGTAGTTGCATACTACATTTAATTTAATTCTAAAATAGATTAATTTTTTATATAGATACATATTTAAATATTTATTATATAGGAATATGTTGTATATAATTATTTTATATATTATAAAACTGAATTGATTTGTACTTTCATATTATAGATGATTTTTATATATAATATACATTATATATAATGTAGTATATTTATATATATACAGAAATAAAAGAATAAGAGAGCTGAAGAAAACTTGCAAGCTTTAGAAATTCATTGTCAAACTGTCAAATTCTTGAAATATTGCCAAGGTTTTGCCCCAGGACAACTAACTCCATTTCAAAGAGCTTCCAGAGGTCTATCAACAGTTAATACACAGTAGGGGTCATTTTCAGTAGGCAGTTTTAGGGGACCCAATTTGGGCACACTTAATTAACTGATATAAATATAGTGCGTGTCAAACCACGTGTTAATGCCATATGATTAGCATTGAATATTGTTTCCTTTGTATTCTCTGAAGTATTGGGGTGGGGGGATTTATCTCATATGGTGAATATTTCAGTGGTTTAAATGCAGAAAGAAGCGCTGACAGCCAGCTTCTTGGTTTCCTGCTTCCATTTTTACCATTCTTGTTCATCCCTGAATCACCTTGATTCTTCTCTTTTCTTGTCTTTGATTCTTCCCAGACATCCCAGAATAAGTTTCGTATATCCCCAGAATCTCCTTACATCATTGCTTAATAAATTCTCTACAGTGTCACTCACCTCTTATTCCTTGACAAATTTGCTTTTTTGTCCCCTTGAGGTGCATGATAATCATGTTTGCCCTTCTTATCAATTATAGACTTCTATTTTAACCCTTTCAGGGTTACGCTTGAGTGGTTCCTGTGGTGGCTCCTCACTCAGCAACTGTACAGCCTCCTGTCTCTTGTTAATCTGATAGTTGTTAGGTTTTGTGTGCTACAAGTTCAATTTACTATTTTTCCTCTGTTTCTCTCCCTCACTTGTATTGAATTGCTGTTAACTGGATATGCTTACGTTGGAGATGTCCTTAAACCTCGCAACAGAATTACATATGTTCAGTTGCCAAAAAAAATATTTTTTTTTTATTATATTCATAGGCTATACTTTTGAGGCTGACGGTTTCATAACTTATGGGGGTACTGTTTGAGAAGGTCACTATTGCAGAAGTAATGTTACCTAGCATAGGTCAACTGTTTAATGGAAGCTCTTGCACAGTAACTCACAATTTCAATTAAAGGAAGTGACCAGTGTAGTGACATAGACAATCTGATACTTAATAGGAAGAGCTGTTTGCTTTTTATTTGGGATAATTTAACTGATGAATTCTGGGGACCTTTTTGAATTGTGATATTAATTATTATAACAAATGCATTTTAGTATGTCTAATCATAATAATTTCCTGTTTGAGTTGCTTCTTATTAATCTTTACATTCTTATTCATAAAAATTCCATTTCATATAATGTTGAAGCTTTAATATGAGCACAAGAGTATTTCACACTATTTCCTTTTATTCTTATGTATAATCAACAAGTGTGTGGTACCAACTTCTCCAGTGAGAAAATAAATTGAATGCAACTATGGAGCTTTCTCTGTTCCAAGCCAGAGGCAGGTTCTTATTGGAAAAGTGGTCCTGGTATTGAGTGTTTTGGAAGGCTTTGAAATGAAAGAGACAGCAAGCTGCTTTCTGGGTAGCACTTGGCAATGTTAAGCATTTATTCAGAACTGAAGAACTTCCTATGCGAGTCTGTTCAGTCAGTGATACGTGCTTGTACTCACTGGGGAGGGACAGTAGTGCATAATTACTTTTCAGCCTATGTGGTTGGAATAAAGGCCAGACTGAATGATGGAAAGGGGGAGGGGAAAGAGCTGTGTTGGGAGAGAGAAGAAATTAGGAAATAGCTAAGACCAGAGCAATTGAATCTCTGCCCTATTGATGAGTGAAAATAATGCTATGGGTGACTGAGGGGCCCTCATACATCATTCCTCATTTCCTGCCCTTTAGTGAAATGCAAGAACAAATTTGTGCTTCCTTTTCTTAGAGAAACCCCTCCTTCCTCTTCAGGCACAGGAAGCTCTGAAGTGTTTTTAGTCACTGAGGGCTTTTTTAGTCTTAATACCTGAAACATTAAATACTCTATGTGTATTTGTAGTCAGATTTTAAGGCTTAAAAGATACAACGGTCATGTTTATTCTAAGTTGCTCGGAACTGATTAAAAAAAAATTTTTTTTCCTTCTTTTGTGTGTGTAAAGGTCCCAAACAAAAAAATTTTTTTTTTTTTTTTTTTTTCCATTTAGGCTTTATTGACATGCCTGCTAATTTCTATGCCAATAAATGAGCAGCTCTAGTCTGAAAGAAGGGGAGTATAAAAATCTGTGAGAGACTTGAGTTGCTTGCAGATGTTAAGTTTGCTGAAAATAAATGACACCGAACACAATCTAGTGAATGATATACAGAAAAGCTTGCTTTCTGAGACAAATCTCTTCAGCTAGTACAGCCTTCTCTCCTGTACAGTGCTTATACTAAATCTCTTTCCTTCTGTAGTGGGAAGAACTGTTAAATCTACAGGTACTTAAACATCAAATACAAAGAACGCTCAATTTACTTTGGAATTGAGAGAAACTAATTCTCTGCCATGAAAGATATTAAGAAACAATTGCTTTAGCAGTTTAGTCTGTCTACATATTTGTTGAAAGCCAAGACGTAAGTAAATTTGTCTCATGGTATTAGCAAGATTATTCAGTTGTCTGGGAAGGGGACTGTGAATACTTACTATAACAGAAGGTGGCAAAACGTCTATAGCCATGCAAAAAAAAAAAAAGACTATATCCATGGTGTACTTTAAATACTGTATTTTTAGTAATATTCACTTAAGTAAAAGGTAGGTCCAAGAAGAGCAGTAGTAAAACTGTTCAGAGGACAAGGTGGATGTCGCATCTCTAGCACCGTACTGCAACTTAAGAAGATAAAAGTATGCTTTGTATTGTGGACCTTGAGACAACACTTAATGAGCAGTAGAATTTTGTATTTTCTTTTTCAATCCATGTTTATACAATTGTTGTACAGTCAACTTTTTGATGAATTGTAAACAGCAGCTTAAAAATTATGCTGTTAAAGTTGCCATATGAGAATAAAACTTCAATTTCAGTAAAATGAGAATTTGGACGTAAAATAACCGGATAAGTAAAAAAATATTTGCTGCTTAACTTTTTCAAGAAAATATTATAAATTCTGCTTCAAGAAAGCAACAAAAAATTATTCAAAATCAACTTCCACTTCTATAATTTTGGTACATTTTTCCAGTTTTTCTAAAATCTGGAACCTGGGCAGTTTTTTCCTCAAACATTAATTTGATGAATCATCCTCTCCTTCATCTCCATCCCTTTGTTGTCATACCCATGTCTGTGTCTATGTGTGTTCCCCCCGACCCCACTGCTTCCCTCAGCTGCCAACCCAAAAACCAGAACCACAGAGCTTGAGTGAGGATTGCAGTTTATTGTTTTTAAAAAGTATTATTAAAATCTTTTATATCCTTTGTCTTGTTTTATGTTAAAAATGTGTCTTTCCTATCCCTGAATTCATGAAAGGGAAGTGCTCTAAGATAAAAGGGATGCCATAAGCTCTGGACCTGTAGTCTACCTGGCACTGTCTAGTTAATTTTGTGGTAAATTAGGTGCCTTGTCTCTACTGTGATCCTGTTTAAGATAGCTCACTCAAAATACATGTAAACAGTCTCTCATCCTAAGTAACGATTCTGCTTGTTATTAATTTAGCACAAGCTAAGTATAACAATTTTTCCTTCCTAAAATCATATTCAAAGATTATTCAGCTGCCAAGTTCATTAGAACCGATGCTGTAGACTCCAGAGACCAGGTGGGATCACAACTAGAGTGCTTGATTGTGTTTTGATTTAAATTCATTTCTCTATATAGCAAATGTGTCTAAAATACTAATCAGGCAAAACAATTTAAAAAGAATTGAGAACAAGTTATTACATAGCAAAGATAAGTTGTTTTTTTCAAGTACTACATAATTATAATGTGTAAATGATGCTACCTTTCTAGGCTTCTTGAGATCCGAGAGTGGTGTTTTGGTTTTTAAGGTTCTGTATTTCCTCACTCATCAGTCTTTGTTAGTTTCTACACTTTCTTAATCCAATTCTAAAGGACAGTAGGCATACATTTCTGTGAGCCTTTATGGATAATGATAGAAGTAAAATTTGGCAGAAATTATGTGATGCCCTAAGTTTTGTGTTTTGTTTGTCCCTTTTTGTTTTTAATACTGTGACCCTTTTCCCCTGAGTGCTTAGCCAAAATTTTAAGTTCTTGCTCAATCTAGGAGAAGAATTTGGCACAAAAGTTGAATGTTGAATTACATTCAGGTTTAATTAAAGTCCTGCTTCATTGAATGCAGCAGTATGATCAGCAAGAAATTATGTTAGTTACAAGGTTCTGGGGCCAGCAAACATCCCTAGCATTTCTTTTGAGACTTTGAGTCCCTGTTTTCAGTGGGTTTTCTTAGACAGAATTTTGTGTGTCCATGCCGTGGTGGTTCTGTGAAGGCACCAGATCATAACTGGTGGGAATCCTCTGTCCTGTTCAATTACAGGTTTTGTCTTGTTTGTGTTTGTTGGTGATACTCTCTGTTCTGGGAATTAGGGCTTGTAAATGCTGTAGAGAAAATGAAATTTACTTAACTAAGCAATGTCATGGGAGAAATCTCTTCTTTAGTCTTCTTTCTCCTTCAGTTTTAC